AACAGTTAGCAAGAAGCCTGCCACGGCCATACAGTTTGTAAGCAATATAAGTCTCTGTGTTTACTTAGTTGGGTCTGAGTGGCTGTGGGACTGGCAAGTGACAAAGATTTGTCCTGACTGTGGGCAAGGCAGGAAAACTCTAGCTACAACTCAGTATACTCAATACACTGTCTTCACATTGCCACAAGGTCCAGTTGACCAGGAGATTTTTTAAAAATATTTTTTACCAAGATGACTTAAGATCATCTAGTTTAAACAGTCTAAATGTTCCAGAATATTATGAAACCCTGAGGTGGGAAATATGGCCCACTACCACCCACTTACTTGTCTTTAGAAACCTGTGTATTTTTCACGGAATACCAGCTTCATTCCAAACCTAATAAGCGCATCAATAGACCTCAGATTCCCATTGTTTTACTGTCCTCACCAACCCCTCCTTCAGCCCACTCTTTATTCCCATGCTTGTCTCTCCCTCCCATCCCATCCCCACCCTTGTTATGCCCCAGGTAACCCACCCCTGCAGCTACTCCTGCAAGCTCCTTACAGGTGGGTTTAGACAATGGGAGGGAGGCACAGGTTCAGATCAGAGTGTGGCAACTCTCACTCCAGCCCTTCTCTGCTTCACTTTCATTACAGCAGTGGCTGCCTCCTTCCAACAACAGACTGTCAAGTGGTGTCTGCTCCAGGAACTCAGCTCTCTCCAGGCTCCACAACACTGGCCCCCATCAGGACAGAGAGTGGCAGCAACTTCCTGTGCCTCCTGTGTGTTCAGCGTCCTTCCTCTTCCCACTGAGCAGCCTTTGATGAACATCTCTGGCACCATCTCAGTCAGAGTGTGCATCTCACCAGGACTCTAATGATAAAATCATCCCCAACATCTCCCTCTCGGGAAGTATTATTTATTGATTTCCCTTCCCATATCAGACAGTGTTAAGAGCTTCCCTACATAAAGCCATTCAGCTTCAACAATAACTCCATAAGAAGTGTGTTGTTTTACAGATGAGAAATCAGACTTACAGTTTTGAATGTCTTAGCTCAGAAAATACAAGTAGTAATTGGCAGAATTGGGATGAAAAGCCAGCTCCTACATTAAAGCCTACTGTGAGCATTTCAGGCAGTTCTTGATGGTGCACATCAGAACCTGAGTTATTCACTAAAGATCCAGATCCCAAAATCCTAACCAAAGTGCCTTGTCAAGAAAAGAAACTATAAGCATGTTTAGCTTTTAGGTTTTTGAATCAGTATCCCACTCTGCTGCCCAAGCTAGCTGAAAAAAAAAAAAAAAAGAACTATGTCCTCCTCCTACCTCTGTAATTAAAGTGCCAGGTCTACAGGCACCACCGTGACAAGTCTAACTCTAAAGCTTTAATCTGAACAGTGAAATTGGCTCAGTGTCAATCCAGGCTCACAGGAGCAGTGTGGGGTAAGTGGTCACCCAGAGGATGGGCTGGCAGTGAAGCAGCCCAGTGTGGGCAATTGTAATTAGTGGAGCTAAACGAATTCTCCTTCTCCTTCCCAGATGGCATGAAAACTGTTAGGGATGTCAGTGAAAAGCTAGAGGAACAGGAGAAAGGGGAGCCCATAGAAGGCGCAGGCACGGGGCTTCAGTCGTTTATGTCCTTCCCACCCAGATGGGAGGATCTGGGTTTGGCTGTCCGCCACCAATGTCAAAAAGCCGGGCACAGACATTCGAGCCTATAATCCCAGAGCCTCGGTCAGGCAGCCGTGAGGCCCAGGCTCAGTGAGAGAGACTCTGTTTCAAAAAGTAAAGTGTAAAGTGGAGAGCAATCAAGAATGACCCTCAAAGTTGATGCCTGGCTTCCACATACATGCATGCACGCACACACGCACACACACACACACACACACACACACACACACACACACA